AGCTTTTTTCACAGCTAGTAAACTGAACGTCACATGTAAACTCAGTGAATTTCTCCTTTAAATCAGACCTGACTGTTTCTCTCTGTGTGGGTTGTACCAGGTTAATGCATGTGGATGTAGTGTCTGCGGAGCGCTGCGATGCCTCTGGAGGTAAAATGGCCGTTCCCGCAGTGCCCTGCGTTGGCGTGGAGGGTCTCCGGCTCACTGATCATGGGCATGGTGGGCTCCTACTCCTACTTCTGGACCAGTAAGTTGGAGCATCTGTACAAAGACACCGTAAACCAGCCAGAAGATTCTCACTTCAAACCAGACTAACTCATACATTTTCAATCTCTCCATTTTCAGAGTACATGAACTACATGACGGTCCACAACCACAAGGTTTTGTGGGACCTGATTGACCGGAGGCCCTCGGACACACCCCTCATCACTCTGTCCAATCACCAGTCTTGTATGGATGACCCACATATCTGGGGTAAGGACAGATGCACCATCTGAAATCAGCTCGAACGTCAGAAAGCGGTGAAATAATCCCGTCTGTTTGCGACAGGTGTACTGAAGCTCAGACATTTGTGGAGCTTCAACAAGATGCGGTGGTGAGTTTTAGAACCTACACATCTCGTTCACTCATTTGTAGCAATTAAATGTGATTTCAGGATTTATTTTTCTGTTCCAGTGTGTGATTATTTCCCTGTTTGTGCAGGACTCCTGCAGCATCTGACATCTGTTTCACCAGAGAGCTGCACTCTCGATTCTTCAGCCGGGGAAAGTGTGTGCCTGTCTGCAGAGGTGAGTCTCTGTCGGGATTTACCCCCCAACTATGGACCTGATATTAACATGAATCTTTGTGGATCTGATCACAGGTGGACAGCTTTCAGTACGACAGCATCTCGAGTGACCACTTACGATTGGATCTCACTTCCCTGCTGCATATGCAAATAAACATTAGAGGGCTGTACCACACAGAATGCAGAATTACTGCAATACGAAGATTTGACTAGTCTTTCCTTCATTTCAGTGCCACACTAAACTCTATCCCTATATCAGCCAGGGCGCTGCAGGAGAGTCGGGACTGTGGGATTTTATAACTGAAAAATTTTTATTGACAGGACCAACCCTTTTACTTTTTCGGTGCTGTTTTGGAGTCTGAAGTTTTCACATCACGGATGGTGATGAAAGGCATTAATGGCAGAGAAACCACAGAAGGTCTCTCCTACCGGGCTGCAGCAAACTCTTAAAATGGTGTTATTTTTTAAAGGGAGTCTGGTGATATTGTGGTTACTGTTCAGAAACATCTGCTGCTCATCTCGGCAGATCATTTGCATTATTGTGAACTAAACTGAAATCAGACAGTGTGTACAGGTTGCCAGTGAGTAGGCGGTCCTTCAATGTCGCCTGAGCAACCAGATCTCAATGTGTCTGGTGCATTCACTTGGTTGTGATCTGATCATACAAGCATGTGAATACAGGTCTAGAGTGGGCCTTTATCTCTGTCTGTTGAACGTACGGCTTACATGATGTGTCGTCTGTAGGTGATGGCGTTTACCAGAAGGGCATGGATTTTATTCTAGAGAAACTGAACCGAGGAGAATGGGTGCACATTTTTCCGTAATTGATTATCTTCCTCCTCACATTTTAATCTTCTTGTCCGCTTTGACTCTTCTTCTGTTGCCTCTGTTGGCTTTTTTCGATGTAGCTTAAGGATCGTGGAGATAAACACTTCCTCTCTCGTTCTTCTTTCAACAGGAAAAGTCAACATGACAGAAGAATTTATACGGTTGAAATGGGGTGAGTGCAGTGCCATGTTGAGCACATACACTAAGAATGTGCATGAGACATCTGTGGAGATCACTCTCAAGAGATTATTTCTGGTTTGTGTTTGTAGGTGTGGGTCGGCTAATATCAGAGTGCTCCCTTAATCCGATTATCCTGCCGCTCTGGCATGTGGGTGAGTTACACACACCACAGATTACCACACATTGTCTCACCATGTTCTCCTTGTTTTCAAGATGAACATACCACAATGTAGTGTTGTTAGAATAAGTAGAGTTATTTAGATCCCTCCAGATATGTATTAAGACATAAACATACAAATAATCATTGTGAAAAATAACAATAATGTGTTTATGTTGTGTTTCTTTTTTTATAATTTTTTTAGAATAATTATAATTTTCACATTAAAATCTATGTGGAGGGAAATCCATGCATTATTTTGGGACGTATTTTCAGCGGTGGATTAATACACCATTTGGTGCCTCTAGTGAGTGTTTGAAAGGCAGCAGGACAGGTGTGTGGTGAGTGTGTGTGTGGTAATAAAGGAATATTCACATCAGCAACAGTGTGCACCTAAGAGACCGTATTCCCAGGTTTCTCCGTTGTTCCAAAGGCCATCTCATTGGGCAACCAACCTGTTCGGGATTGTGTGGCATGACCCTATTTATTTACTGGAACAATCTCCATACAAAGGAATGTTTTGTTGTTGTCTGTCGTCACCTAGGTTGCCAGAATCATCTTGGTGGGAAAAGAGCTACTCAAACACAATTTTCGACCATTCTGTCACTGCAACCTGGGCAGCCCCACAAACCCGACTGTAATATATGTGTTCTGTATGATGGGCCAGCTCAAACTGAAACGTTAGCTGTCTGTCAAAGGGCTTGGCTGGTGGCGTTTCAGCCAGAAAAAACCTAAATATATTCCTGCCAAGACTTCGGCTATCTGCAATTCACCGGATGTAGTGTCCATTGCTCTTGTAAGCCTGTGGCGTTTGATTTTTAAAACTAAGGCATTCTGGGAAAATCAATTGACGTTTCTTCCTTGGTATAACCAAAGTGTATGGTATGAATGATCTCACTGTTTTTAAAGCATTTATCTACCAGAGACTTGAACTCTACACTGTTTCTCCAAATCTGGTCTTCTACATCACAGGAAAGTGGTTCCAGGTCAGGTATGCAACCTCAGTGAGATCCACCAGTGCACTTTGACACTGAGAGGACTTTTACAGTGAAGGAGGAGACATTTTGTGTCCAAGCAGGAAAACTTAAATAAACCAGGAGAATTTCCGCATATTGTGAAATTTTTAAAGCTAGGTAGAAAGTAAATGTCTTTTTA